GACCATTTCCCGGATTTTCGAGAACCACGTCGTTATTGATCCACGTACAATCGCCGGATGCGGAATTGATTTCGGCGTGTTACTTTATCATCTCTACGAGCAGCGAAATCGTTTTTTGATAGGCTGCTAACCCACAAAATTTCGCCGTAATACTATTAAACGATTTTCCCAGCAAGTTATTAAGTTATTAATCGACACAATATCGATGCAATAGTTTTCGATGATTTTCTGATATGTTGCGTTAGCGTATCCATTTCTTTCCAGATTTTGATGGAAACAATTATTTATCAGAAAAAGATTAAAGAAGAAAAATAAGAATTTATAATAAAGAATAAAATTTATTCGTGGCTAAAGTATCGCGCAATCTCCTCTTTAATATGACGGTAGTTTCTGCTGTTACGTATTCAAGCCTGATTCAATCAGTATAGCACTCCCTAAGGTCCGTACGTGTTTATAGAATTTTCACGAGACGCACGAAGTAATTTACATGCGGAATGCCAGTTGAAGCGTCACGGCAAGTCGTGAGAGAATCGTGAGAATATGTTCGGGATACGAGGACGATTCTGAAGGAGGTCGCGAAGGACATTCCGTTTTGCAGGAACCTGTTCGTGAAAGCGTGAACGAAGAAAATAAATTAAAACTGCCATATCGCGCCGCTTCCTTTCAAAGCATAAAATTTGTATTCCATCCAAATAAAATTCTTTCTGGATCGGGTGAAAATTTATATCGTATCTACAGAAATCTCTCTCTCTCTCTCTCTCTCTCTCTGATATAATTTAAAATATTTTTTTTCTTAGGAAAAATTAAATATTTTTATCTCTCCTCTAAATAATAACTTTTTACTGCAAACCTATGATGCTTACTAAATATTCTGTAGTGTAGATGAACACATTGTTTATAATATGTATTTTTTCTATAAAGAGCATATTGTCGATAACTATACGCGTGACTTGTATACATGATGAACGGCCAACTTTTTCAACTCCGATCAAATATTGGGGAAAAAAACGCCAGTCACAAATACGTCTTTTAGTTCGATATTTTTGATCCCATTTGACGAACGCTGGAAAATCAAACCTTTAAAAAATAATAAATAAAATTTACTCGCGCTTATATCTTCGAGCTCTATTTTGTGTGGCGGTATTTCGCACAAAACTCGCTCTCGCTTGTAATCGAAAGAAACGCTCACGTGTGTGTGTGTATATGCGAACCAAATCAAATGCATTTTTTTCATAAAAATGAGCGAAACGTACTCGTTTGTATTTTGGGATACTGTCTTTGGCGGATAGGTCAGAAAAATTTTAACTGTCCAACTGGATTTTAGCCCCCTCTTTCTCGATAGAATTTTCCTAAAATCCCGGTGAGAGAGACCCGAGATGTGGGCGGATAAAACCTGAGAAAAATCCGAGTTAAAGTCGTAAGTAGGTATCGAGCGTGGGACCGAGCGTGCACATTACAGGCCATTGAGAGGTCTCGATTGGTCACCGGTGTGGTATACCGCGTTTCTGAACGACGATCAGAGCAAGCCAGCCGGCCAGCCGACCGCTCGATGCCCAGCGTTCGTTCGCTCCCGGGAAAATCCATTCCCGGACGTAAGCCGGCCTGATTACCGCTGTCACGCGCCGTTGTTTCTTGTTTGCCTTTAATCTTTCGCCGCTTCGCTAACGAAAAGTATACAATTTCCGCCCTTCTCGTTTTTCCGCTCTTCTTGTTTCGTCGCGCTTGCTGAGAGGAGCCCGTCGTTATTCTCCTTATCGAGAACTTTGCCGTCAATTTGCCGAGATTCTCGTCCTCCTCAGCCGGACGTTGCCGAGATCGAGTCGATGATCGTGATGAGAAATTATAAAGAAGATGGAATAAAACGCGCCAGATGAATCGACCCCTCAATGCCGCTGCCGAAATTTCATAGACGCGACGCAACATCCGCGTATCGTGGACATGACATTGTGGAGAAATTATGGCAGTTGGCTGGCGGAACGAGGCTAGTTGCGAAACGACGGGGCCGGGGAAGGGGAGGAGGGGAGGAGAAGGGTAAACCGGGACGCCCTAGGTGAAATATCGCGGTTTAACGTGACAGTTTAAGGGCGTTAACCCTGGCGACGCTAATGTCCTGCATCTGGAATAGAAGGCGCGCTGGTCACTGAACATCCGCGACACTCGTAAAAATGGCGATTCGTATTTCTTCTGTAACATTTATTAATACGCGTTTCTTCAAAGTACAAACTGTGCGTGATAATCATGCCGGATTTGGTGAAAAATGACATAAATCGCAAAGCGGAGGGCACTAGGGAGAGAGGAGGTGGATATCTGATGCTAATCTAAAAATTATGTGTATATATATCCTTCCTGTTTTTTGGGGATTTATATAACGAAGAAGACTACTAGATTGCACTGATGGAAGAGAAACCGAAGCCACTCTCTCTATCAGGAATATCGGTAACGCATCGTTTATCGTATCAGCGTGTAATGGTCGTCGCGATCCGTAATACTGAGAGGGATTCTATCGAAGCGAATAAATCGAATCTTTCGTTGTCATGATTTCCCACACGAACGTGTCTCGCCAGAAATAAAGGAAGAGAACGATGTCTATCATCAGCGGCACGATATGCCCGATCGACGACGAAATGAACGTTCCGCATCGTATCTGGTACGAGGGGGAACCAATGGTCGGGATAATTGGTCCAGCATCATCCGCTATGAGTTATAAAAAAGCGATTGGCGTGGAGACAGATATAGTGGAGCAGATATTTTGTCGGTAGTTTATAGAGATAACTTTCGAATAATATCGACAACTGTCGAGAATCAATGTATGTCTGTATTAATACGACCTTTTTCACTTAAAATTATCTACACACACTGTTGAAAAATTTAGCTTAAATTTAATATACCCGTATATCGCGTGTCTTCCAAATGGTCCACGCAAATTTTTGTGATAATTTAACATAATACGGATATGTGACGATATGGAGATGTTAAATGACGACATATACTGTGTTAATAATATTTTAAAATGAATGCGAACTTTATAATAATTTGAAATAAATTTTGTGTAAAATCAACATATTTTTAATGATAAAATTAACTTGGAAAAATGTTATTGACGGTCTGTAACCACTCTCACTCTTCTATTGTAAAATAAAATCTACATTTCTTTCTGTAAATTTTAACAAATAAATCCTGTCACTAATAATACGAAACATTTATTGTGTAAAATTAAAAATATGTCAATATTGTGTTATTTTTATACTTTTTTCAATTGTTTTAATAATTTACATTAACATTTGAGTTAAATTAACCTAACACAACAGCAATATATTAAATTAACACATGAATGTGTTAAATATTTAACAAAAAGATTTTTATCGTCATATTTTAACAAGAACACAACTAGTCCAACAGTGCAGGATCTATATATTGATGAGATATTTGTATTTTCTTGCGGTTTACCCTGTATATACGGATAGTATTACATATCGCGGAACATTGGCAACCCTCCAGAGATAAGATGAGTCGCGCATCAGGCGGCATATCAGGCTCTTAATAATAATGGCGATAAAGCAGCCAAAAGGGGCACCCTCGGGTCACCGCGTAACCACGCGCCCGACGCGCCCGACGCGAATGCATCGCCGCGCGGGAAATGAAACTGTGGCCATATGACACGACGACGTTTAATCCGCCCCCTTTTCTCTTCTCCTCCCTCGGGTCATCGTTCCCTTCTTTCGCGACTTCTTTTTCAGCTTTACGGCTCGTTTGGCAGCAGAATCGCCGTGTTAAACGCATCCGCGGATTCGATGTTTCGGAATAACGTCGCGCCAGCCGCCGACTTAATGTAATGAGGTGATGTTACCTAAGTATGCATAGTTGGCAGAGAAACTCCCTCGTGTGCTCTCCGCATGAATATAAATATGGAGAAATAATAATATTCCGTCTATACGGTAAATATATTTTCGAGGGAGAATTTTTCACAATTTTTCACTATTAGAGAAGGAATTTTTTCGTTTTACAAAATTGGAGTCACGGGCTCGATATGATGGCGCTCTAGAACAGGGAATATGTCGGACAGCTTAATAATCTTCGTTCGTTTGACGGGGGATTTTTTTTCCCTCCATAACTATGGATATAATAAAAAGGAGCCAGAAAAATAGATACCGATCAGCGCGCACTAGCGTTGCTCGAATATTACTTTCGAGAAATTAAACGTACGGGATATATATGTAAGTAGGGAGAAGGGAGACCGAGAAGGGAGTGTATATAAAATATTTGTACCACGTATCAACGATACGCGAATGTGTTTATGTTGGACACATATTGCCTAATATTTCTCTCCTCTTGCCGCAGGATGAGCACGATGTTTGCATTCGAAACAGCGATTTTCATAAAGAAACCGGTGACGGTTCGATAAACGACTTTAGCGTCATAGCGTAAATGTTTACCGGCGAATATGATTTTCCGGTTTTCGAAAACCGGAGCGCGATATTATATACGCCGCACGAAAACAACCTTTCGTTTCGCGCTACGTCATAAAATGCAGCTCATTAAAACGAGATTAATTAGGTTCCGCGATATCCCTTTTAATTAGCATGATATTTCCATAGAGAGGCGTGTGATTTTTCAACGTTATACGAGCGATTGTCAAAACATCAGCGTACAATGTTCATTGTGCACGAGGAAATTTTTAGGAAATTTCTTTTCACCGGCAATCGAACATTGTCTCCCCTATAATTTACCTCGCGGTAACAGTTTTTCGATCGTCCGTTAATAGCGCGCGGGAAAACGATCCCCGGACGCGATCATATTTACGTCTCTGCCTCTAATTATCCATGCGAGGATAATAACCGTTCGTTCGGGGCAGAGCTTCTGTCGGGAGCTCGTCGCTTCCGCTCGATCGACCGGAAACCGATGATATCCCGCCGTGTTTCGATGCGTACGTCATGTGAGTTTAGCGCCTCAAAGAGATCCCGCGAGTCCTGTGAACGCCAACCGTCTGTTTCTCTGCGCAGGATTATTTCACCGTGTCGTGTTGTCCAGCGGCTCGGCTCTAAGTCCCTGGGCCTCGGTACACGATCCGAACGATCTCAGGATAAAGATCGGCGAGCAGATGGGCTGCTCGACCAAGGAGGACGATGACATAGCCGATTGCTTACGGGGAGTACCGTTGAAGACTCTTCTGGACATACAACTTCCCGAAATCAGGTGAGTCGGCGAAGAAACAAGCGAGGAGAATAATTCCACCTCGGACGAATATAATTTTTTATCCGATCGCGGGGGAAATTAAAGTAATAAAATATGTATTTCGAAATTGGTACAGATGGAACGAATTGATATCTCTTTTTCATCTTTTTATTTATGATAGCACATGCCGATGTAATAAATATTGCCTCGCGCATCGCGGAATCGCGTTTGCCATATATATTGCGGGATTCGTATTCATCGCCTGAATATTGGAGTTGTGCGTTTCGATGAAAAGTGGAAAATGCTGGATTGTAAAAAATTCAAGAAGTATGATTGATACGTAGAAAAAAAAATGACGTTTGCCAATACAGAGCTGCAATTACCTACTACGTTGCAAATTTATAATAATTTTATAGACCCTCGATTCTCTTTTTCTCCCTTCGATGAATTATGAAATATATGATGGACTGTCAAAAAAACAACGCGTCCAATAATATTCCAATATGCTATACATATATGGCCACATTTATGCGTCTGCAAAAAGAGATGCGATTAAACGAGGGTTTAAAAAATCGCAAAATTAAGCTAAATTAGATGCTTCGTCGACATTATTCGCGTTATTAACATTAGATCTCTCGCGGCGCGTTTGAGAATATATTTATATCTATTATTAATTGCAGGATAATCACAGCGCGCGCTGAATTATTATCGGATTACTGTCGCATCGCGACGAAACTACACAGTTGGAAAATTTGGTTTAAATTTAATATATATCGCATGTTTCAAACGGTCTACACAAATTTTTCTGTTAATTTAACATAATATGGATATGTTTGAAAGTTTAAATGGTGACACTAATATTATATTAATATTTTAACACAAAATATGAATGCAAACTTCATAGTAATTTGAGATAAATTTTGTGTAAAATTAACATATTTTTAATGATGGTCTCTCACTCCTATTATGGAATAAAATCAACATTTTTTTTCTGTAAATTTTAACAGACAAATCATCTCATTAATAATACAGAACATATCTATTGTGTAAAATTAAAAACATGTGTACATTGTGTTATTTTTACATTTTTTTTCATTTGTTTTAATAATTTAACATTTGAATTGAATTAATACAACAGCAATATATTAAATTAATGCATGAATGTGTTAAATATTGAACACATAAATTTTAATCGGCATATTTTTTCAATAAGAAAACATAACTTTTCTAATTGTGTGATAACTCTCGCTTCATTGATCTAATACCTATTTGTTGTATCGATTTATCGTCGCAACGTGGTGCAAAATCCCGGGTGATGCTTTTACAGATTCGTGCCTCGCATCGGACCGGCTCTGCCCGTGGACCAAAACAATCCTGATCCAGGTCTGGACATGGAGCGTGCGAGCGACGCGTTTATCAAGGTGCCGCTGATCCTGGGCGTCTCTACGACCGAGTCCAACCTCGATTTCAACGCCAACGACATCCAATACGGCTTCGAAGAGGATCACCGTAATCGCATTCTGCGCACCTTCATCCGCAACGCCTACGTCTACCATCTGAACGAGATTTTCTCAGCGGTGAGGAACGAGTACACGGACTGGGATAAGCCGGTGCTGCATCCCATCATAATACGGGATTCGACCATGGAGGCGTTGAGCGACGGTCATACAGTCGCGCCGCTCATGAGAATCGCCTTCTATCATGCCAGACGGGGCGCCAAGACGTACTTTTATCACTTTAATCATCAGTCCAAGGACAACGGCTACGTGCAGGTAAAGTAAATCGACGACTCGCTGTCATTTGTCTAAGGAAACCTTGAAACTTTACAAAGTTTCTTCCGCGTGAGTGCTAAGTAATTTTAGGATAATAGCAATTTTCTTTTTAAATAGCGCATTTTACGACACAATTTTTTTCAAGTACTGCTAAGTATTGATAATAATTAAATAAGAGCTCAGTCTACTCTAGCAGTATGAAAAATAGATAATTTGTAGAAATTTCTTTTCGAAGAATATTAAAAATTGATTTTTTTGAAATTTTTCTTTATATGTTTTTATTAATATTTAAACAGTACGTTAGTATTTTTTAATCTTGGATATTTAGCTTTTTTATTTACTACGAGCCTTTGCGCGTAACGTGTTCAAAAATAACGATGTGATATGTTGCTCCTCGTATGAATGTCCAATGTGAAATGAATAAACTCGTTCTAGTTTTATTCTGTACGATATTTATGAGATACTGTGAACCTAATTTTATTAGAGAAAATTAAAAAATAACAAAGTAGTATTATTTTAAAATTAGACATTTCAATTTTGCTGAAATTTATTCATTTTTTGGAGGTCAGAAATTATTAATTTTTTAAATTCTATTTAGGTTTAATATCAAAAAATATCAAAAAAGTGTCCTCTTATTAAACAAAAATTAAAGTTATTCGGTTTAATAGTTTTCAAGATATCCGTCACACCAATTTTGAAAACAGTTTTGAAAAAAACGCGTTCCACGTTTCACAGGCTATTTAAAGATCCTATTTAAAGTCTTATAATCCCATCCGATTTTGCGAATTTTTCAATAATATTTGAAAAAATATTCTTTAGACATTATACTTTCAGAAAATGTAAAGGAAAAGAAATTGATTTTTTTATCTTCTAAAGTAGACTGGGCCCTTAATAACGATAAAAGAATGGAGACGAAAGATTTGCAAAGGAGAAAATTTGCAGCGAGCTACATAGGGGGAAATTATGCAATTTAACGTTATCGTTATCGATATATAGTGCATTTCTCGAGACATCGATTTTTCTCCATATTAAAACGATGTAGCGTCGCTTGAAGTTTACTATCGGCGAAACGGATGGAACGAAGAGAGGACAGGGACACTGCTTAAGTCTGAGTTAACTCCATTAACTTGACGTCCCGAAGAGAGACTAACGCGTTCGCCCTCGACACCTAGTAGCCCGCCGGCACTCTCAGTTAAGGAAGCAACCCGTTCAACCCCTTCCTGACACGCTCTCTCGATCTTCCTACGTCCTAGTGGCACGCTCATCCGTCTCACTCTGCTCAGTGCTCTGGATCTACACCCGGGCTGGTAACCGCTGGCCATGACTTCACGATGAAGACACTGATTTAATAAAACGCCTCGGGCGATCTGGGCGCGCCGTGTTCACATTTTGTCTCGAGAACGATAGAGATTTGTCACTCTTGGCATAATAATATTGGAAGGACGTGAGAAAGAAATTGTTAGATCGGCTAATTTGTAAGCTCGATGCCGAGCGATGTATTAAACTCGCGACGGAGGAGAAACAAATTGACGTTTTCAATATTGAAAAGAAAGGAAAAAGAGAAGACTGTGGAATATATATTTTGATATTACGACATATATTATATTTAAGAGGAATATAAAATCTGTAGCGGTGAAGGCGCTACAGAAATTTCTCGTAATATCTTTCCGAGGCAACATTTTAGAGACACGTGTAGAAACACGAAAATTTGCTCCAAAAGTTGTTTAATCCCGACTCGACGAAGCGGAGAAGTGCAGTTAACGGAGCGATTTGGAGCATATCAACGTTACCGTCTGCGCGCGCGCGTGTGTTTGTGTGTGTGTGTGTGTGTGTGTGCGCGCGCGCGAAACGAAATTTAATTAAGTACCGTACGAAAGATACCTTCTTTAATAAGTTCGCATTCACGAAAATGCTCCTACGTCGCATTAAAGAATATTACTAGCATAATCAGAACGCGTCCTCGCGTTATTTTCGCGCGAATTTTCTTTATTATATTGGCTTATAAAAAGAGAGCGAATTAGCCGAGAGATACCGAGGCAGAAAAAGCCACGTCAAGGAGAGATAAGGAAGCGATATCAAGAACACTGAATGCTAATGCGACAAATTTATTTGAATTGTTAATCGCCTGCCATTTGGTGAGATTATTTTTTTCTCGCATTTCGCGCGAGTGTTTAATGAGAATTGGGAATAAAATACAAAGTGGTGCAAGCACACGATAGTGAATTTTATTGTTGAAAATTATGCAGCGATACACACGCTAAAAAAGAAAAACACATTGCATGTAATTCCCGACCAATCTCATTATTAATTCTATTAATTAAACAAATTCTAATAATTATAGGCTAATAATTAATTAATGCTCTATTAATCATAAATAAATGCAACATTTACAAATTGAACCGACAATAATATTACATAACAACTCATGAATTAGTCATGAATTAGAAATTATATAAATCACGCGCGTGCGAATATCGTAAATATTATATAGTAGCTCGCACCCTCTTGTAGAAAAACCGCGAGAAAATTGTGGAAAAAATTGATCGTGTGCAATTATTATCGATTCTACTCGCGACTGGATTCTCTCGTGAGCGAAGATTAATCTTTCTTGCAGCGTCTGGGGAGCGTTCGTGGGGAGGACATACCGTACATTTTCGGGCTACCGCTAGTGGCAGGCGGGGCCTTCTTCCCGCGGAATTATTCTCGACAAGACCAGGGCGTTGCGGAGGCCGTCCTCACCTTCTTCACCAATTTCGCCAAGACCGGTAACCCGAACGAGCCGCACAAGATCGAGTCGGTCGACTATGGCACGCCAAAGGAGAAGACGCGATTCCGCGGTCTCACTTGGGAACAATATGAGACAGGCTCTCAGCAGTATCTCACGATAGGTGAGTCTCGAGCTTGAGAAACACGAGTTTTTTATTCGTTTCTCCGTTATTTTTCGATTTATTTTTGTTATTTTTATTTTTAAATTTACTCTTCTACAGTTGCGGATAACATCTCGGAATATCGCGGCATTTTTTTAATTTCCCTTTCTCCCTTCTCCCCTTTGCTCTAAAAAGTTCTTTTACAAGTTTGATTGTGTATAGTCCGGGGACTCTGTCTGCCATGTATCTCTTGTGGCTGCCTTTTTAAAAGTTTCTCTTAAGAGTTTAATTGCGTGTAATGTGGAATCTTCCCTTCAGTGAAATGCGGATAAAGAGTTTTATTCCCCGGGAATAATTATGTAAAGTAATACTTTAATGTTCATTTAACTCGCGCAGAGTAGGCACATGAAATTAACTAATGTTAATAGGCACGCCTTGATAATTCTAATCGTGATATATTATACAATGTATTGCACATGTGCTGCACATGTATTTTATAACTAATTAAGAATTAACATAAAACATTTTCCAATAATTTCAAGATACATAATAATCAACGAAAATAATTGTTTGTTACATTGCTCTTTCATAAATTTAATAAGTTTTATAAAAATAGATAGGGAGAGAAAAATAGAGAGGGAATGAAAAGTGGAATAGAAAGAAATAAGTGGAATAGAGAAAAAAGAGGGAGGAGAAAAGAAAGAGCAATGTAATAAAGTTGAGTGACAAATAAAGTTTATGTTTCTTTAAATTATTGGAATGTTTCTACTAATTTTCTACTAATTATCAATGAGTGAGCTACTTTGTTTTAAACAGTTTCTTTATCTTAAATATATATATTATAATTATCCTAAAAATATGAAAAACACAATTCTATATAATAAACGTAGAACTACATTTCAATCATACCGTGTATGATCTCATTCGCAGCTTCCTATGCTTCAATAATATTCAACCCCCTTTGACCGATAAAATTTGAGAACCGCAAATACGAATGATTGAATACCGTAGGCGCTTTTAATTTAGAACTTTTAATATATTTTATTTAGAATCAAAAATTAAGTATAATTTTATGACTTTTCATTACAGATGGTAGTAATTTAGGCACCTCTGACATTTAGTCACTCATATGTCAAGACTTAATACATAAATAATAAATATTTTAATATATATATATATTTTTTTTAATTTTTATTTTATATTTTTAAATATATCACTTTGGCTTCAACATACAATTATAAAATTATACGGTTGTTACTTGCAAAATTTTACAAACTATTGCTAAATAATTATTTACATTCTCGAATTCAGAAAACTTTTTATCGAACTTTTTTTCACTCAATATATATGTTCCTCTCTTCCTGAATTATATTCTAATTTACGTATATGTTTCTTTTGCAAGTCACTAATTAATTTTTAAACAAGTATATTCAGAAACCCATTATTTTTCAAATAAGATGTATATTCCATATTTGTGTTACTTGTATTATAATTGGAAAGAGAAGCGTCGTTTGTAATGACACAGAAAAAACTAACGTACGTGCGTTACAGTCATTTAGACCGACTGTTACAAGTGTATCAAATTTTACATAAGAAATATATATATGCGAAAGAAAGAATATTATATCAATAGATTGGGAAATATAAATAATAAATGAAAAAATGTGACAATAAAAATGATTGGAGCGCAAGCACTTCCAGATTAATAATCATAATTTGTTTACAATTGTAACGATTATTGTTCGTAATATAATACAAATTGTTAAATGCATATCCATAATTAATTAATACATAACAATTATATCTCTTGATAAATTTTGGTAAGCATAAGAGCAAGAGAACACCCTTTAACATCCAATATTTATTTCAGCATTAAAGCCAAAAATGAAGAGCCATTATCGCGGTCATAAAATGGCCATGTGGCTCAACTTGATACCGCAACTTCATCGTCCTGGTGACGATGACGTTTCCATGCGGCATCATCACTTCAGAGAACGCGGCGATCATTATTACGCAGGTATGATAATAGCTTTTTCAAAATAAAAAAAAATAGATTCTTGTTTCTCTCAGTTAATATACTTGTTGATCTCTTCCATTATTCAGGAGCGGTTCGAAATGAATGGTACACGCCACTGCCGTTGACAGGCACAACACGGACGAGCGCTTCCTCGACTACTGCCTGCAGCACGTCTACCGACTTTGAGGACAGCCTCGTCATTGAGGACATCAAATCAATTCTGGAGACCTCCGAGGATGACGCCGAGCTGTTGCAGAGACTGGCATCTCGTCATTACTACAGCACCACTACCGCCCTGGCGATCACCGTGGGTGTCGGCTGCATTCTTCTGGTGTTAAACATGCTGATCTTTGCTGGAATCTACTATCAGCGTGATCGCGACAAGAAACGCGCCGCCATGGATTGCAGACCAAACGGACAGGAGTCCCTACCAATGACCACTAGGACGTCCATAAAGCCTTCCGAAAGTACGCGGCCCGCCCAGGAACCGCCACCCTCGTACACTACCCTCGCGAGAAGCCCCTCCATACAGGAACAACAGCAGCAGCAACAGCTCGCGCAGTCTCAGAGCAGCCTGGAGCAGTCGAACAAAAAGGAGCCGAGAGGATCCGGTCATGGGACCAGCAAGGACTCGATTCCGCCGAAACCGCCCGCTAGGACCACCAGCTCACTCAGCACCACTGCTGGTAACACTAATACCATCAAGAAACGTGTGCAGATACAAGAGATATCCGTATAGCATTAGGGGTTGCCCCTCGAGGGCAACGCACGAACGAAACGAGTGACATTTGTAGACGCGGAAGCGGCAGAGTCCAGATTTTGAATGATGTTCCCTCATTTTATCAGCGAAGGTGAACGGATCGGCTTGACTTGGTGAAAGAAACGTCTCGTTTATCACAATTATACAAGTGCAACTCGCGAATCAGCGAAAGAACTTTTGTGGAGTGGAATCTTTTGCGATGTCACGTGTAGATCGTGACTTCTCTACTTAACGTGCGATTGGAATTATGTGTCTGACTGCAATAGGATATTACTACTAGAAATCGTCGATATTATTGCCGACTTTTACTACTTGTAGTGCGCGACATGGCTGACTATAACGCGATAGCACTACTGAACTGTTATCACTAAAGTACGACTGACACTGTTACTATCTTACAAGACATTACTACTGATGTTCTTTCTATTGGTGAAAATGTAAGATTGTACATGCTTGTTACGACTGATACAAAACATGGATTATACGTAGTTGCTACTTGTAAGCAGACAGCGTTCTCTCTACCCGGGAAAAAAATCCATATTATAATCAAATATATATATATATATATATATATAAAATTGTTAATAATGTATTCGAAAGAGGAAAAAAATAAAATAATGAAAAAATAAATATAATTATGTTAATATACAATATATTACATAAATAATTATGCTATATGCATAATATATTACATGAAATAATAGAGAGAGCAAAAAAAAAGAAAATAAAATATTATTCGAAAAATGTTAAATGTATTATAAAGACAGTATCAAGAAAACATATATATATATATATATATATATAGAGACATATTTTATGTATAATTAGATATCTGATTATATATGGATTTTTTTTCTGGGTTGCTATCTTGTTTTAAGAAAATATTCAGCGATTTCTAAAATAAACATCATAATTCGCGTAGCCATATTAAGTATATATATTTGAGACGCTCAAAAAGATATCCTATTCGAGGAGTTATTGTTGTAACTAAAAATGATATACGTTCACTAGCCATTCAATTCATCGGAATATAAAAGTTCTGATTCTCTTTTAAAGATCGCGGAAAATTTAGGTGGCCTTAAAATACATCACTGCACGTAAAGGGCAACGTATCGATATCTTCGATATCACAAAGAGCGCTTGGCGCTCTTGGATTTGTCACGGACGAGACGCTATAATTGAACTTTATAGCGCACGGAGATTCAAGGATATCTCTGCTAAAAAGCAATTATGCGTATAGGAATACCGGTGCACAGATCGGTGCACAATCATTTCCGTGACTTCGGTTTGAGAGATCTCGCTCTTGAAACGATCGGAATACCAAAGTCACGTACACGATTCGCATACCATCGCATACCTCCTCGTCTCGACTGCTTTGTGAAGCATTGGATTGATTGGAAGGAAGAGACACTCGATTCCAAACGGATCAAACGGACGCTCATCCCTTATCCGATATATTCACGAGCGAAACGAAAGTTCTGCCCCTATATAACTGCAAGTATCATTCTTGTATTACTCGCTTGCGTAAGATTGCAACAGCGTCAGTTGCATCTTTTGACCGAAGGTCCTGCCAAAGAGAAATAGATCTCCTAATAAATATCGCGAAAATTACTCGGGCGAAAGACGCGCAATTCTCCGACTGCGCAATCGCCGAGTACAGAAGTCGTAAAACGGCTTTCGAATGACCGGAACAGCATAACTTTCGAGTGGCCGGACTCGATCATCTGCCGAATGTTCTGATAAAGTGAATAGTTTGACAATCGCAATTATCGAAATTGCGACTAAAGAATTCCTGATAATGTCTGAAAATATATAGACGTTCATAAAATATAATTTTCTCTCTTACGTTTTTTGCATGCGAGCTTCAAGAACCTGTCTGATAATTGTAGAAAATTATATACAAATTAATGCAAGTATTGTTGAAATACTGACAAAAAAAATTGAGATATTAATATGTTCGTATTATTTAAGATTTAAAAATTGAAATTATTATTTCTGAAAGTTTAAAATCGTTGATTTAATTAAATTATATACGGTTTTATAACTATTCTATATCTTAACTAAAAGTCTTTCATGAGTTGCTTGCAAATTTTTTTATTTTAAGAGAAAGTTAAAATTATTGAAAATTTTTAATATTAAATTGAAATTGTTTATAAAAGTAGAGATATATAAATATATTGATATGAGAGCTTCTGTTGATGAATAATATTAATAAGTCCTTTGTACGCGGCCTTTCCGAACCGAGATTATTACTGAGATAAAATATGCTCAAAAATGTAATAATGTAATAATGAAACAAAAAAAAGTAATTTCTCTTAAAGTACAGTTAAAATTATCAAAGATTTGTATAGGACTCTCTCTCTCTCTCTTCCACGACCAAGTATCCTAAGACGTGATCGCGCTCGTGTTTGCAGAGATACATTTTGTTCTTTGTAGAAAGTCTTTAATCTCGAATTAATATTCATGACCTGATTCTGACGATACACACCGTCAGATTTTAGAGATGTTAAGTTTTGAAAGTCACCTTCATCATTTCGTGCGCATCTAAATCGGTTTGTGCTTAAAAATAAAATGCACCTATCAGGATATATCATGGATGTAAAACAATATTATAATAGTATCGAGAGCATGAGAAAAATTCAATCAAAATACAAAAAGCAAAGAATATTACGGACGCGATCATTGATAAATTTTTACTCGCATAAAAACTCCTAAATGACATGTTTGTATCTCATTTATATCCTAATTATTGAAACTATGGTAAAATCGTGAGCCTGAAATTCATTCGTAAATATACATATAATAATAATGCTTTATGAGAAGTTAATTTTCTAACTTCAAATGATATATATCCTATATGGAAAAAAAAGAACCACGCAATCTTTTCCATTCTAGAATGTCCCGAGTAAGCGAGTTTCAAGATCGTTAAAAATCAAGAAACTGTCTAAAGTAATAAGAATCATTTAATCGATCGCATGTACGACTTCCTCGGCATGAAATTATACATATGTATTGATACGATTAAGAGAACATAAATTTGTAATTAAGAGTACTATGTAGCGTAATATGCACACAGACTCGGTGTCGCGTAAAATCGTATTGCCGATTATACAATAATTTTAAGTACGTATGTACGTTACTACGTGTAATTTTTCAAAATAATTATTCGCGGTCTGAAATTTGACACGTTGTGATACTTGCGTGAAGGTAGTATCGACACACGTAAGACGGCAGTGAAATTTAAATGCGTGTTATAGTCTAGAAAATCAATTTGTAAATTTCACTGTACAACAATAAATGCCAATTTATAAAGATACACGCAATTTTTACCTCATATCAGTCATATCATCCATTGAATTTTCGATCGAAAATTTAATTGAAATGTTAATTGAATGAATATTACGTAACAAATATAGACAAAACTTTATTTTCAAAGTATCTTATATCACATCAAGAGAGAAAATATAATGAATAAAGAAAAGAAAACTTACATATACTTAAGATCAGCTTCTAATAAGTTCTAAATGTAATAAAGTATGCTACCCATAATTCATTGTTTCTTTTCTATACAACTTGTCAATACATTGAAAATACAGTGTAATATACATTATATGCCTTAAAAACCCCACGGTGAATCCATCTTACTCGACAGCCATCTTTTTGGCTGAAACTGCGTTAGGGGTGGGACTATTATTTCTTCTTTTTGCTCCTCGTGCGTTACGTCCTTTGAACATAAAAAAAAAATTAATATCTATTTCTTTTTATTGTGATATTCTTTTTTTATCATTATATAGAAAATTCAGTCGTTTGAAGAGTTTAACTCAGCGAAATCCAAATATTTGATTTCTCAGTATTAGCATGGCAATAGCATCATTAATATACATTAAGATCGATAAAATTATAGTATTTTCAAAGCTGAATGATTTTTACCTTTCTTACCACTTCGTTTTCCCTTGCCAAATTTCTTTTTCGATGCTGCCATTTCTTCCAACGTTTTTGCCAGGTACTTGTCTTCCTCCTCACCTTCAAGAACTTTGCAAGTGACCTCAACTTCGCGAATTAGCACCTTGGAATACAATTCAATTACACTCGATTATTGTAATTCTAAAAGCACAATCCGAAAAATTTTAGTAATTTCTCACCTTTCCTTCATTTGTCTTTTCTAACAAAGACTTAGCAGCATTTTCTCCTTGCAGACGTACCCATCCTTCCGTATCCCCTCTTCGGAAATCAATGTATGCAATATCAGCATCAAACTTGTTTAAAGATTCTTTTATATCTTCCCTTGTACATATCTTAGAAACGCCGGAAAAGTAAATAATGGAACCTTTTGGCAATTTATTATCTACACTATCTGTACTAGTAGCTATACTAGTATCTATATTAGTATCTGTTTCTGATGTCTGATCTGATTTATCAACTTCGATTTCCTTTTTTCCTGTCTAAGCATGTAAAACAAAAATCATAATATTAAAAAATTAAGTTAAAATGAATTTGCATTTATTGCATTAGATTATATATATATAATCTTTTCTATTTGTTTTCTTCACACTTACAGTAGCTGCTTTCTTTCTCCTCTGTTCCCTCTCTTGAGCTTTTTCTGCATTATAATTTGCACTAGAAATGTTATATCAAAGTCATACATAAGTACAAATGTATTATACAACTAAAAATATAATATATATAAATAATTCCATATATGTATATTTTTACTTACGCCCATTTTCTTATTAATTCAGTATCTTCATATTTTATAGATTCTACATTCATGAAAGCTTTTGCATCATCCAAAGTTTCAAATTGTACAAAAACAGAACCTTTGAACTTAAAAACTTTATCTTTACGATCTTGATATTTCCTCATCTGTAAAACAAGATAATCTTGTTTAAAAATATATACATATTTATAATAATTTCTAGCATGCTATCTATTCTTATATCCATATACATAGTTCCTAATTATCAAATGTATCAAATAATCTAATTTAAACAGATATACTTACCACAATTGTTTCAAATGGCTTGTATGGTTCAAAAAATACTTTTAGCTTATCAATATTTGAAGTTAATGGAAATCCTTTAACATAAACTGTTCTGGCCTCTTGAGCTTTTCTATATTCCTCATTATATTCTGGTAAAGGATAATTTGGCGATCGCCGTATCTTCTTTCTATCTTCAGAAATCTCTATGAGATCGCTACTTTCCAGAGCCCTCATAATTACATCAACATTTTTGCTAAGATTAGCTAGCATTTTAAAGTTTAACATAACAGTCATGGGAATCCAGCCTGCGTCTAATTTTGTTTGTTCAATGAGAAATTTATCCCTCTGCATATTTACATTACCGAAGTAATACTATAAAAGAAAACAAAAAAGTAGAAGTATGAAACATTGACAATTGTTTATTTTTTTTTTATGGATGTTACTTTTATAGACTATTAATGCTATTTCTTACAAACAAACAAACAAAAAAAAAAAAATATATATATATATACCTCAATTTGTTCCTTGATCTTTTTCAAAAGTTCTGCAGGTGGTTCTTCTTTAGCTTCTTTGCTCGCATTGTCCGCAGTGTCAATAGTTTTATTGACCTTAAATAAAAAATATTTAAGTATAAAACTAATATATTGATACTTGCCTTTGATCATTACTTCTTATGCCGCTTTTTTTTGCATCAGTCAAAATGCGATTTTTCAACACGATATATTTTATTATTTTCTCATGAAAACCAAATATATGATACGTACCTCTACTTCGGCATTAATCTTCTCCGAAATTTCAGTGGTCGCTTTTACCGCATCGTTTTTACTTTCAGCGTCAACGATTGGCACTTTATTAACCTCATCGACAGCATCACCATTCAAGCAATCGGCACTTGTTTCCTCTTTACCGTTTTCCATGTCAACAATATTCGATCTATAGTATCTATATAAAAATAAAATGCAGACGATGCAGTTTCAAAAAGGCCAATTCCAGATACGCTTTATATTCTTAAATTCCGGTATCTCTTAAAGAAAAAGATCTAAAAGATCTCTTCTCGTCTCGCACACGTGCCCTGTTCGTACCTACTCGAGTCCAAGTCGAAAACGGAAATGATGCATAAAACAAGGCCCGTATGAGGATTGGTGCCACTATAAGGGCTGTTGTACACAGGACGCGACGACGCCAATCGTTAAGCCCGTATCAGACTACGCATTGAAGATTGAGATTGAAGATTGAAGATTAAAATTTGACCAATCAGAATAAAGAAATTTTAGTGCTTTTTGTTCTGATTAGTCAAATTCCAATCTTTAATCTTCAAGCTTCAATGCGTAGTCTGATACGGGCTTTAGGTTAGGTTAGCCAATCGATTGAAAGCCTAACCGTAAGAGCGAAAGGTTGATTGGCTAGCGCCTTGCTGTTTAGCACGCATAAAGCCCGTATCAGACCAATCAGACTAAAGCCTTGTGTCTACGATGCTAGAACTCTGTCCGAGAAACGTGTAGCCAATAAAATTGCCGCTTCTCCGTAAAAACTGCAAACTTGATTGGCTCATTTCTCGGTCCGAGAACTCGGACAGAATTCTAGCATTGTGAACTCAAGCATTAAAAATTGAAAATTGAAGATTCAAATGTGGCTAATCAGGGAAAAGAGAACTAAAATTCAAGGCAAATTGATATATTATTATATATATATATATATATATATTATTACTATTAATTGATCAAATGCTTTCAGTATTTACAGTGTCAAAACGGACACAGCCAGTAAATATAGTCGGTGTTATATATGGCTAACAATGCTATGGTATGTATACAAGTATAACTTAAAAGGTACAAAAGAGATGATTGTATTAGTTCTCAATCTCAATATATCATCGCATCTTTGTAATTGTATAATACAAAACTTACTGTTGATGAAAGAAATGGTAATTATTATTAAAAAACTTATTTTAATATATATATTACATATATTAATAACTTATATTTTCTTTTACAGTATTATCACATTATATTCGTGGAAAACTTTATAACAGTTTCCCTGAGTGGAAGAATATTTATCAGATATGGAGAACATGTGTCAGCCAAGGATGTCCAGTGAAATTTCATTGGCCTACTCCTATTACTGATAGCAATGATAACTTAAAAAGTGAATTAACAGAATTGACTTACATATGCACAAGAAATAAAACGATATTTTTAAGGAAACTTATGAATCATTTTCAAAAACTAAGCAACAAATCTCCAAGAAAGAAAAATATCATAACTGTTCCATTCACAGTTTCCAAAACTGTAAGGAAAACCCTTCACTTATGAAACTTCTTATCTCCTCTTATATCTGAAAAAGATATAATTCCAATTGCACAAATAAGGAATATAAAATTAGCGCATGATGAGGATAACAAACAAAATACTGAATTGAATGTAAATTCAGTATATAATAGAATGTAATTCTATAGAATTAGCGTAATTCTATAGAATTAGCGCATGATGAGGATAACAAACAAAATACTGAATTGAATGTAAATTCAGTATATAATAGAATGTAATTCTATAGAATGTAATTCCAGAGGAATGAATAAATTAAGATATCATTTACAAGGATAAACTAAAAATAATTATCGACAATTTCGCAGACAGAAATTGTTCTCCAAAGTATTTATATCGACAAAATTATTGAGATGTTTAATTGCTTGTACTATGCAGTATCTTATAAAGCAAAATTGGAATGTGATTAATTATGACTTGATGCTATAAATGTTGTATCAAAGTTATACACAAGTAAAAATGTATTATATAACTAAAAATATAATATATATAAATAATTCCATGTATATATTTTTACTTACACCCATTTTCTTATTAATTCAGTATCTTCATATTTTATAGATTTTACATTCATGAATGCTTTTGCACCATCCAAAGTTTCAAATTGTACAAAAGCAGTCCCTGCAAACTTAAAAACTTGATGATCTTGATATTTTCTCATCTGTAAAACGAAATAATCTTGTTTAAAAATCTATACATATAATAATTTAATATTTAGTCATATCCATATCCACATGATTCTTTATTTTCAAATCTTCCAAATAATCTATTGTAAACAGATATACTTACCATAATTCTTTCAAATGGCTGGTATGATTCAAAAAAAGCTTTTAGCTCATCAATATTTAAATTTAATGGAAATCCTGTAACATAAATTGTTCTGGCCTCTTGAGCTTTTCTACATTCCTCATTATATTCTGGTAAAGGATAATTTGGCGATCGCCGTATTTTCTTTCTATCTTTAGAAATCTCTATGAGATCACTACTTTCCAGAGCTCTTAGAATTACATCAACATTTTTGCTAAAATTAGCTAACATCTTGAACTTTAACATAACAGTCATGGGAATCCAGCCTTTGTCTAGTTTTGTTTGTTCAATGAGAAATTTATCCCTCTGCATATTTACATTACCGAAGTAATACTGTGAAAGAAAACAAAAAAATAGAACCATAAAACAGATTGATACTTGTTCATTATCTTTTTTTTATAGATGTTATTTTTATAGATCATTAGTCTTTTTTATTATACCTCTACTTGTTCCTTGATTTTTTTCAAAAGTTCTGCAGGCGGTTTTTCTTCTGCTTGTTTGCTTGCATTGATCGCAGTGTCAACAATTTTACTGACCTTACATTACAAAATATTTAAGTATAAAACTAATATATTGATACTTGCTTTTGGTCATTACTTCCCTATGCCGCTTTTTTTTACATCAGATAAAATGCGATTTTTCAACACGATAATGTATAAAAGATTTTATTTTCTCACGAAAACGAAATATATGATACATACCCCTACTTCGACGTTAATCTTCTCCGAAATTTCCGCGGTCGCTTTTACCACATCGTTTTTACTTTCAGCGTCAATAATCGTCATTTTATTAATCTCATCGGCAGCATCATCGATCAAGCAGTCGGCATTTGTTCCCTCTTTACCGTTTTCCATGTCAACAATAATCGATTTACAATATTATAGAAAAATAAAATGCAGACGCTGCAGTCTCAAAAAGGCCAGCTCCTGGTATGCTTTATATTTTTAAATTCCGGTATCTCTTGAAAAAAAGATTCCTTCTCGTCTCGTACAAGATGCTCTGAAGTGATGCCAGATTCAGGACGCAGGACGCACGGCGCACAACGCACAACGCACAACGCAAAACGCGCCAAACCGTGGTAGAGGGGATAACAGTAGAAGTGATAACAGTAGAAAATCGCGTATATATCTCACATGTACGCGATTTTCTACTGTTATCCCCTCTACCACGATTTGGCATGTTGCACATTGCACGTCTCGAATCTGGCATCTGGCATCTGGCATCAGTACCATCAGTGGTCAGTGGTGTTCTGCTCGTGCCTATTTGAATCCAAGTCGAAAACGAAAATGATGCATAAAACAAAACCTATATGAAGATGCGGATGTATATCAATTGAATACAATACTTATTGGCCAGTTGAAAATGAGGCCTTTTTGATTGGTCAATCGTCCTGGTTACCCTAGGCGTTGGTCAATAGGTTTGTTCGCGTTGCTTGAAATTCCCCAAAAGTTCTGCACTGAAAATGAGATAAATATATATTTGGATGTTGAAGAGAGTGAATGCGAAGGTACTGAGTGCAAAAAGTTCAAGCAACGCGAACAAACCTAATACGAGTAATTGTGTTCAATCGTATCGTGTCCAAATGAACTTCTCCTTGAAGATGCCACTATAAAGGCCGTATTACATTACGGGTTGCCGGCTCGGTTAAGCCCGTATTAAACTACGCATTGAAGATTGAGATTCAATATTCAAGATTGAAATTTGACCTATCAGGACAAAGAAATTTTAGTCCCTTTTGTTCTGATTAGTCAAATTCCAATCTTTAATCTTCAATCTTCAATTTTCAATGCGTAGTCTGATACGAACTTTAGAGCAATAGATTGATTGGCTAGCGCCTTGCTTTTTGGCACGCATGAAGCCCGTATCAGACCAATCAGACTAAAGCCTGTATCAGACTGTGCATTGAAATTGAAATTTGACCAATCAGGACAAGGAAATTTTAGTTCCTTTTAGCCTGATTGGTTAAATTTTAATCTTTAATACGTAGTCTGATCCGGGCTTAACGACATACTTTTGTTCTGATTAGTCAAATTCCAATCTTTAATCTTCAATCTTCAATTTTCAATGCGTAGTCTGATACGAACTTTAGAGCAATAGATTGATTGGCTAGCGCCTTGCTTTTTGGCACGCATGAAGCCCGTATCAGACCAATCAGACTAAAGCCTGTATCAGACTGTGCATTGAAATTGAAATTTGACCAATCAGGACAAGGAAATTTTAGTTTCTTTTAGGCTGTGTTCCAGAATTCATTGCCAGCACTGGAAGTCTATGGCTGCGGTCGGGAACACGCTATGTTGTGTTCCGATTCCCCACCCAAGTGCACCCGATATTATAGTATATGTCACGTATACTATAATATCGAGTGCACTCGGGTGGGGAATCGGAACACAGCCCTAGAAATGCTTCGAAGCATTTGATTGACCAATCAGGACAAAAAGAGTAAAGATTTATTTATTCTGATTGGTTAATGCAATGCTTCAAAGCATTTCTAGCGTCTTCCCGACCGCAGCTATATCGTTGAAAATTGAAAACATTTAATAATTCGAATTTGGCGGATCAGAACAAAAGGAACTAAAATTCAGGGCAATTGGTATATTAGTATTATTATATTATTAATTGATCAATTAAACGCTTTCAGTATTTACAGCGTCAAAACGAACGCGGCCGGTATATTTCGTCGGTGTTATGGCCAACAGTGCTGAGGTATGTATACAAGTATAATTTAAAAAATACAAAAGAGATATCTATATTATCTTAATCTCAATGTATTATCGCATTCTTGTAATTGTACAAAATACTGAGTAAACTTATTATATGCATCTTGCACTTTTATCGCAGGTTACATTTGAGGATTTTCAAACAAGTGAACGTTTCAAGAAACTGCAGCGCTCCTTGAAACTGGCTGTACTGAAAAGGGTGCATAGCAAGGGTGTACATAAAAAAGAAATGTTGCCTGCTGTGACAGCTTGGCCCAGCATTTCCAGCATCAGTGTGGATAGTATGAATTCCAGTTGCGTGACTCCATTGTTGCATACTTCGGTGGTTAAGAGTGAAGTCTTGGCTTCCAGTAATAATCTGAGAAACTTATCGATGAAGAGGAATTGTAAGACCAATGGAAAAATAATGGCCACATTCAGCGTTAAACAAGATGATCACAGTGATCGACTTGTTATGCCATCCCCAATGAGAAACACAGTTTATCGCATTTCCAAAGAAACACAAGACAAAGTTCCTACATTGCCGAATTGCAAAACAGTAGTGTCAAATCCACTTAATAGATCTGTTCAGTCTTCCACAGTAAATACTTTTTCGTTGAGTGCTACTAGTCATATATCTGCTAATACAAATACTAGCAAAGAATACTTGCATCCTTTTGTTGTACCAACAATACCTGTCAATGATCCTCAGAGGGTTAACAGAATATTTTCAAGATGGAGAGTTATGCTCAATGACAATTATGAATTAATAATTAAAGGAACATTAGAATGGTAAATACATAATACACATTTTATTAATTTGTGCATTAACATTTTTTCTTAAATTAACATGCATTTTCTTTAACAGTGGAAGAGTTATATATAGCAAACCAGTCATAAGGAGATATACTGCGACATGTGTTGAATCGAAATATAAACATAAATATAGTCTTCAAGGAAATATTGTTGATGAAAGAAATGGTAATTATTATTAAAATCTATTTTAATATATATACATATATGTATATATTAGTAACTTGTATTTTTTTTATACAGTATTACCGGATTATATTTGCGGAAAATTTTATAACGGTTTTCCTGATGATTGGGAAAACGTTTATCAGATATGGAGAACATATGTCAGTCAAGGATGTCCAGTGACATTTCGTTGGCCTACTCCTATTACTGATAGCGATGATGATTTAAAAAGTGAATTAACAGAATTAACTTACATAAGCACAAATAAAAAGGATATTTTTAAGGAACCTTGTAAATTATTTGAATATACTAAGTTTGAAAATTCAAGTGACAAATCTTCAAAAAAGAAAAAAATATATAATTGTTCCACTCACAGTTTCCAAAGTTATAAGGAAGCTTCACTTGTAAAACCTCTTATCTCCAATTCCAAAAGAGATATAATTCCAATTGCACAAACAAGGGACATAAAATTAGCATGTGATGTGGATAATGAACAAAATATTGAATTGGATGTAAATCCAGTATATAGCTCCAGAGGAATGAATAAATTAAAAGATATCATTTACGAGGATAAATTAAAAATAATAATTGACAATTTGGCAGACAGAAATTGTTCTCCAAAGTATATCGACAAAATTATTCAGATGTTTGATTGCTTGGACTATACAGTGTCTTATAGGGCGAAATCGGAATGTGATTATAACTCGGCGGTTTCTGCAAGTCGTGCAACATCATGCAAGCAGGAAACGTTGCAGCCGAGTCTCGCGTGTGATGACAATCGTATAGCTACTAATAAATTTGAGAATGAAATAAAGGAACAAGGAAAAAATTGCATGAACTCCACCAACTTGAGATATAGAAGTATAAACAATGATTCTAATCGTACTCAGTTATCGAATCCAATAAATGTTAATCCAAAACACGATGATAACAATGACTCGGATGAATCAGAGAGCCGGACTTACGCGGGCGTACCCAAAATATCGATTGAACGAGTTTTACATGGCAGAGAAGCATCCAGAAAAACATACAAGCATAAAGTAAAGAAGAAATCGGCAAATTCACGCAACGTCAAAGGAATCGGATATGAGTTTGAATCTGCTCCCACGACGATTCCAACCGCTAATGATAAGAATAGTTTACTTTCTGACGAATCTTGTATTAGTATCACGGAATATGAAGTAAAAGATGAAATAGATACGGCAAAATATCATAAAATAAAAAACATTGCTCAAAGATCACAAGAAGACACTTTTTATAACCATCTGATGACACAGAGAAATAATTTCGATGTATATGGCGCAAACAAGCCTGCAATGCAAAATAAACAATCGTTCAATCCTTTTCAGGCACAAAAAGTTAACTTGGATGTCTCTATAAAGAAACAGGAAGTTTCGCATGGAGTTGAAGAAAATGCACATTCACAATTTGTTGCAGATGTCGATTACGCTACCATTTCTGGCGTTGATGTGACTGTAAGTACAAATACGCAGAAAACAGACAGAAATATGATAACATCGCATTCTAATCTGGATCAAGACATTGTGATCAGTAGCGAGAGTAATAATAATTTCCCCGAAAAACCTCTTGTCTTTCAACAATCACATAGAGAATATATCGAACAATCAAAAAACGAGATTGCAATGAAAAACTCCAAACCTAGCATAATCAGTTTGATGCCGGTAAACCTGAAGTTAAAGATAAAAGAAGCAGATTCCAAGTCAGAACAATTACAAGCTTTGGATGCGAATATTGTAGAAAATGAAGAGGACAAACAATACTTCAATATTCAGTCATTGGAAGAGGTTCACAAAAAGAAATCCATATCGAAAGCGTCAATCGCTATAACAAAAGCAATTATCGCAAATGATTCTCATTCGAAAACGACATCCGATAATAAAAAAAAGATCTATCTGACAACAAATAAGAAAAATGAATCGAATGTAAATTCCGCTAATTTGACGAAATCGACGACGAATCCAATAACTGAACAATCTAAAAGCAATAAGCTTGAAATTGAAAATGATTCCAAAGTGCTGAGCGCATGGATGCCGAAAGTAATATATTATGCGAAATCGAAATCTGAATTAGGCTTGATATTTGAAGGAAAATTGCTCAAGTGAGTGCTCTTAAATTTAATTAATTTTGTTAATAATACAGATGATATAAGATGATAAAGAAAATAGTTAACTCCCATATTTCGTTTTGAAATAGTGTTTTAAACATCACCGAATTTTTCAGCATTCTCGAATTTTTCTTTACAGTCTTTTTCAATATAATATGACACGTTCACTTTCAAATTTCTTTTTCAGTCATTTATTTTTCCAATTACAAAATGTTAAGTCGTTATCTGGGCGAATGTACCAACCTGAACTGACACTGTTTACATTTTCACATAGAAGTTTCTCTCACATGCGGTTAATAATTATATGACGGTATGCAATTGTATTTCTTCTGTTTATAGCGAACTTGGTCATGTCGTGCAGAGAAAATTTACGACGGATATTGTACTGAAGCGATTATCAGCTACATCGATCGAAACAGTGAATCATGAATTCTACAAGCTTGTCGGATACTTGAACGACTATAAGCATGGTAGAGTATCCAAAATCTGGTAACAATAATACATTACATCATAAATATTTGTCAATTTTAATAATTTTTATTTTTCATTATTTAGTTATTCCTAAGGAACTTGCAAAACAATGTCGTAACGGATGTCCTACGAATATCGAACAATTTTGTCTGACTTGGAAAATGTTGCAAAACTGTATATAATGCGATTTTCTTAACATATTTTTTTTTTACTTTTTGTAAGTACGTTAAGATTACATGTTCTTTACGAGAAATTTTTTATTTTTTAGGTAAAATACAAAAAATGAGTGAGAAACTTAATGATACGTCCATGGACTCGCTGAATACATCTGTTAGTTCGAGAGGTCGTAGAATTGTACCTCCTTTATCTTATTGGACAGGTGAGAGGAAAGAGCAGAGGAGGGGAGAGAATAAATAAATAATAAAAGTAAAATGTAGAAATAGAATAGATCAATTTTTTCACTAAATAGAAAATAGATAACTTTCTATTTGAAAGTATTTTATAGTGTTATTTTCTATACAGGTGAACGTATAACTTTGAAAGATAACAATCTAGTTTATAATCCAGGCAGTTCACAGAAATCATCATTAATTTCGAGAATTGAAATTTCAAAAGAATTGGTAAATTATAATATAATTATAAAAATGTTTCAATGATTTCTCATAGCTAATGAATTTTTATTTACTACAAATGTACACATCTTTTTTATATTATGTGAAATATAGAGTACTGAAAAAACAAAGAAACAGAAAGCAAACTCCAAGAATATATCGAAGGAGCAAAAATTGTTCAAATCGAATAAAATTCCTAGTACAAATAAAAATAAAGTAAGTTAGATTATATGAATATTTCTCTCCAAATATAAAAAATTTTCTTAATATAAATTATTAACAAAAAATGTATGGATTACTTTTAATTTAGATGCTCGTTATTGAGAAAACTCAATCTTCTAACAAGTCATATAAGACTAAAGCTGCAAATAGCACAAAGAAATCATACAGATCGAATAAATCTCGAAAATCCTGGATTAATGGCAAAAGATATATAAAACAAAATTTGACATTCTCATCGACCGATTCTAGCGACAAGGAGCAAAACGTATCTCCACCAAAGGTAATATTAAAATTGATTTATAAACTAGAGTTTTTATCATATATTTTTTAGAGAAATCATGCACGATTTTCTTTTTATGCAGCGTATGCGCACCCAGCTAAATACGAAAACAGGAGCGACGTCGCAATATACAATGACATTGAGGAAACGACATAAAACAGAGGCATTCTCGAATAGAAATACGACTAAACTCCAATAGTTTTCATATCTTTATTTAATGCGGTTTTTATTTAGACGATGCAATGTTGCATTGCTCGATTCATATTATGATGTATGTTACTGTAGACACTCACCAACAAAAAAAAACAAGACGCAACATGATATATACTTATTATAAAGATATTTCATCGACAAAAGACTCTATCAGAAGCAACATCTATATAATCTTAATAATTTTTTTGTGTTACAAAATTATGTGTGTAATATTAAATGCACAAAAATACGCGCGAAAATTCTATTTCAAGATATTTTTCTTCCATGTATATCTCCCGCTATATATGTTATTTTTTTTTAATGTTTCTTTTGTTTACATAGTATTTATATCTTGTAAATTGTGGACAGAAAAACTTTTTTCTTTCATTTTCGAAAAATAATGAAATATACAAAAATCTTAAGACCGTCTTTGCAATTTTTGTGTGTTTACAAAAAAGGCAGTGTACAAAAAAGTCATTTATTAATAAAATAATAAAAAATGTGGTATAATATTAAAAAAATGTTCTCGCGCGGTACCTGTCGCGAATATTTTTGTAATTTAAAAAGAAGAAATAAGGGAAGATGATGAATGTATATATACATATAAACATAGATTTTTATATGACTCTTGATAAGTCGTACATATATATTAATTAGACGCAATTTAGATGTTTGATTGTGAACAAGTCTCAACGAGAATAAAGACGAAGTGTGCACACTGTAAATAAGTCTCCTGACATTTATTTAATTCTGGCATTTTAACAAACGGCTTAGATCTTTCATTTATTTGTATAAAATACCGCTTGCTCTAAAGACAAATTTTTATAATAATATACTATATATTCTGCATTATATAAAAGTCTGTGATTCTAACAATAAAAGAGTCATAAGAAATATAATTTATTGATATATTCAAATAAAAAGTACAGATAATTGATACAAATACAAAATAGTCATTTTTCTCCGTTTTATATATACTATGTAACATATAGCCTTATTTAATATAAATTAAATTAATTTAATTAAATTCTTCTTCTGTGTGGCACTTATTTATAATCTCGATTCGTGTCATTTCGATTCTTATAATTATAGTTGATAAAATGAACACGTCACGCGAAATACGCGCTTCAAGGATCTATCGTCGCGATATAGTTACGTATTATATTTAATGTAATGATAATTAATGATTTATCATATCAAATTATTTCCCGATACTTGTCGCGATCGCGTTTCGAATTTGACGGAGTGTCTCGCGCTCTACTATCTTACTGTTCGAGTATCGCCGTGCGGATGATAAGGCCGTAAAGTCATAACACGTTAATATATAGCGCGCTAATGTTTACGCCGCCAAGGCCGAATACTATTCGATAATTTGCTACCGAAATATTTTCCGTACTGTGACGTATATACAAGCGGAATATTAAATTATACAAGTATTTTAAATTATAGATCGATTATTTAATAAACGATTAATATAGCTTTTTAATGTGCATCAGTGCGCACTAATGCATCTAACTGAATTTATAAATTATAAAATTACTTAAATAATATAATTAATAATATTATATTATTTAAGTAATTTTTTAATCTAAACTCAAAACTTTTTTATCAGATATTTAGCAATAAAAACCATAATGTAAATTATTAAATTATATTATTTACATCGTAATAGAAATAATATAACGGTACGCAGCTTCTAAATGTTTCGGTTTTATTTATGAATTTAAATAGTAAAATTGAAGATGGTTGCAAATTATTTATTTTTCTTTCAATTCATAAAGTACACATACGAAATCATTTTTTTTACCATGATACTATAGTAAAATATCAACCAATTAGCGAAATCCTGGCAAAGATAGCGATCCACTCATTGGCCTAGTTTACATTGATATACTTTACCACGTATTAGGTATTACACTGGCCAATCATAGCCATTTCTTTAAAGAATGGAATGGCTGTGATTGGTCAGTATTGTATTTAGTACGTATTATCATAGTATATCGGTATAAACTAGACCATTGTCAGAGCTGTGTTCCGATTCCCCACCCGGGTACACCCGATATTATAGTATACGTGACATATACTATACTATAATATCGGGTGCACCCGGGTGGGGAATCGGAACACAGCAAGGGTGCGTTATAGATTTCCAGGCGATTTATGCGCTCAATGCGTGAAACGGAACGCACCCCAAGTATGTATGTATCCTTTTATACGAAATAAGTTATTCCCCCTTCTTTGAAGACTCTTTCCAAGATCGCGTTTCAAAATTTGCTCCTTGGAATAGAATAGCATTCAATTGACCAATCAGGACAAAAGAAACGAAAATTTCTTTATTCTGATTGGTAAAAATCATTAAGAACATGAAATCACCTATTGTAGACCGGCACTTAGTGCCAGTCTACAATAGGTGATTTAAGCCCTAAATCTTAAGAAATTGACGAATCACAATCAAGTATGAGAAGAATACTCGACTGTGATTAGTCAATTTCTTAAGGCTTAGGGCTTAAATCACCTATTGTAGACTGGCACTTAGTCTTCATGATGTACTAAAGCCCGTATCAGACTACGCACTGAAGATTGAGATTCAAGATTCAAGATTGAAATTTGACCAATCAGAATAAAGAAATTTTAGTCCTTTTTGTTCTGATTAGTCAAATTCCAATCTTTAATCTTCAATCTTCAATTTTCAATGTGTAGTCTGATACGGGCATAAGGCCTAGATGTTGTTCGGGGAAAATTTCACGCGCTCAAGTTGGCACACACATTCTGAGTTCTGAGACGTTCGCTGAATCTCCTTCTTTTCCGGTACGCTTTGTTGGGTGACCGTGTCTTATTTAGTTTTAGCTGTAATTATATCTTTCTCCATCTTCCACAATGAGGATTTACAAGGATCTTTTCACCGGTGAGTGAACAATAAAATGTTCTCGCAATCATATAAGCTAGCTATTTTTTTATTTTCCAAATCGAGATGTGATAATAAACGCGAATAAAAAGCTCGAATGAGATGATATTTCGAACATTCTCGATGATGGTTCGAGTTTCGAGAGATATTTCCAGATTATTTCTGAATGAAATTACACGCGGTTTTATTATTTCATGATAAATTAGCACGATTATTATACTATAATTATTTAGATTCTTTGATAGATATGATTATGAAATTCCTAACCTTTCCATATGTTCTTAATGATTTTTATGGTTGCAAGAGTAATGTACCATTTTATCAATATAAGATCTTGAATTCTGGTGCTTACATAAAATAATAATTCATAAGTCCATATAAAATAATCTATTACATAAATCTATAGAGTATTATAATATTTTGTGTATATACTTTTAGGAGATGAAATGTTCTCCGACACTTATAAAATGAAGCTAGTGGATGATGTGCTGTATGAAGTATATGGCAAAGTATATATTTATATATATTTACAAAATACTTGTTTTTTTTGTATGGAAGACTTATGTAATGAATATGTACGCTATTTTCCAGTTGATCTCTCGTAAATCAGGTGAAGTTAATATTGCCGGTTTTAATCCCTCTGCGGAGGAGGCCGATGAAGGCACCGATGAGATGGTAGAGTCTGGTGTTGATATTGTGTTGAATCACCGACTTCAAGAAACATTTGCCTTTGGAGATAAAAAATCTTACACCTTGTATCTCAAGGATTACATGAAGAAGTTAGTACCTTTTTTACTATGAATTTTTTTAAATTTATTAAATTAAGTTTTTTGCAGTGGTGCAATTAACTAAAAAGCGCTATCATTGTACATTTCAAAATGTATAACTTTTTCACATATTATTTAAGTGAATATATTTATATTTATTATCGTAAAGATTCAGAAACTATTAGGCTTTAGTCATTGTTTAGTCATTTAATGATGAATCTCAGCAATATGACTCATTAAACCTCTTATACAGACATTAAATATTTGGTTATTTCATGGTCATTATAACAACTTTTTAAAGAGAAAAAATAAAAATAGTAATCAAAAACAATAAAAAAATTAAATTTTATTATTTTTTATTTAAATAAATTGTATATATGAAACAATATATATGTATATATAAGTTTGTAACACATATATACTTTTCTTTTTTTGTAGGCTAGTAGCAAGGCTAGAAGAGGAATCACCTGATCAAGTAGAAGTTTTTAAAACCAATATGAACAAAGTTATGAAAGATATTTTAGGTCGTTTCAAGGAGTTGCAATTTTTCACCGGTGTTTCAATGGACATTGACGGCATCGTGGGCCTCATGGAGTACCGTGAGATCGACGGCGAGTCTGTGCCTGTACTCATGTTCTTCAAGCATGGTCTTGAAGAAGAAAAGTTCTAAGTAATTCTTAGATATTTAATAAAATGTGGACAAATTTTGTAAGTTGTACTCTCATTTATCGCTTCTTGTATTTATCTATTAATGTTAGATTCATATTGAAGCTATTTACATATGTGCTAAAAATTAACATGTTTTAACAAAAAAATTGAGATAAAAATTGCAAAATATAATATACATGTGAAATTCGTGACCAACACATTTTCTTTGTGTTCGCCACTGCACAAACATGTTAGATTAAATTGGCAAGCAGATTCCCGCTGTGATGTGTTTTTGATCATAGCGTCTAATATAAACCAAACATCTTTGATAATGCAACTCTTACTTTTGGTATATTTTTTTATTATAGAATAAAATCTAATCTATTTTCATATGTGTTTTTCAGATAAACTGGAATCAAGACTGCACACATGCTAAAAAGCTGTGAAATTTAGTTAAAAATATAAGACAGTTTAATACTTCCAATCTTGGTTTACAGTGCAATTAATTAAACACTACATGAATAAAATCTTCGATATATAATGACAATTCCTTAATAAATAGTTGTAAATACTCTGTAACAAGAAAAGAGATGACAACACCAGGAATCTTCGTAAAAATGTTTCCCAGAAGGTGTTACATTTGTCCAATTTATATTAGATGATTTAATTTATATAAAAAAATATATATATATGGAAGATGGGGAAAGAACTTGCAGCGATAGACTTACATCACTGATGTAATGTTTACAATTATTGTGTTAATGTCAGTAATGATTAACAATTTCTGAAACATATTCGACACATAAATGTCCATCATAAATAAAAAATTTTTCCATAATTTTTATTTCTTTTATTACTTTTTTCCATAATTGTTTTTTTTTTTATTTTTTTTTTATATCTCCCTTCATTCCTTAATTATCCTTTATAAATCATGAATGTAATATATGTAAATTATATATATATATATATATATCTGAAGTGCATCTAAACACATTTATATATATACACATTTATATATATACACATTTATATATGTAGATTTTTATGAAATGTAAACGCGTGATTATATTTCAGGTGCTATTGTTATTTTACTCGTCTTTAACTCGGTTTCTTTGAATGGTAAGAGGTATGTATAAATTCGTCATGTGCTGCATCTAGTACACACATGTGCAAGCAATTTCATTATAAATCTAATACCGTGCGTGAAAGATAGGAACTTTTTATTATCTCATAAGAACGAAAACACGATGCATGAAACTTATGTCCGCTTCTGATAACACAGTAATAAATATACTGCAAAAAAAAAGAATCATTTTTATGGTCATATACCATTGATTCATTGATTTTCATTAAGCGCGTAATATGAGAAAAGATTTACAAGAGGATGGTAGAAAAATACAGATATCTTCACTTCATAAAAATATTATATTTAGATAAGTCAGAATAGATGATCTATCTCTTGGCGCGAAACCATACATTATATTTCTTTACTCAGGGATTGTTACTAGCCACATACTGTTGTACAAGTACACTCGTAGCACATCACTCCCTTTTATTTTGCACATTCTTGCCGTCAACAATTTCTCATTCTCTAATTCTCAATTTCTCTTTCGCTTGCCTCTTCTACATCTGATTCTCTTGCGTTTCTACATTGTATTATTTTATATACCCTCATCTCTCTCGCTTTCTGTGAATATATTACTATTATTTTCTTTAAAAAAAAAAAAAAACACATTTGCTCTCTTCACCTGAGAACTCGACGCCTCCGTACTTTGCACATGTTCCGTACCGTTATTTGAAAAAAGGTATATGTTTACATTTACAAAAGCGTATCTTAGTAGTTTAGTAGTAGTAAATAGCATAAGTATTAGAGACAGATTTTTTTTATAATCTACAATGGATGCGCGAAACAAAATGTCCCATTATAACGTTATAAACGAAATTATATAACTTACAGCTTAAAATGATAAACTCTTGAGGGAGATGTACATACGTTACATATACATACATACATACACATATATATATATATTAATCCGAAATTATGAACGAACGTGTATGCCGTATATAAATGTGTCTTTTCTCCCTGCACGCGAAACAAGAAGAAAAATAACAAGTATTCGAAGTATATCCGACTTATACGATAATATCCCGAAATAATATTTGATCAATAATGGCAGTCATACAAGAGTGTTAACTTATTAATCCTCTTAATTAGAGATTGCCCATATACGTAAATATTGTACGACAATTTATACATAGATGTAACATACTAGCTTACAGTTTTTTTAGCTCTTTTAAAGGTACGGTATTTAGTAGGACACACCTCTGCTACTATTTGTTAAGTTGGGTACATCTTATACGCGTTCGATAAGAATAAACAGTATATTATTTAATGTTATCGGTATTATTATTACTATTATTATTATTATTGTTAGTTATTACTATTATCATTATTATTATTATTAAACTTATTTGTACTGATCTGTGTAGAATGGGTGCGTAAAAGGGTCTCAGTACTGCACTGTCTCTCTCTCTCTCTCTCTCTCTCTCACAACACACACACACGCGCGCGCGCGCGCACACACACACACACACATTTTTTCCAAATAATGAAATGATAAATGATACTTCGTCATACTGGAAAGAGGATTTTGCATACAAATATATGTTAGTCGGATGTGTCATATTTTTGTCTTAAAAGTAATTTATATTGGAAGAGAAAAGAAACGGCATGCAACACAGAGAAACGATTGTAATACCCAGCGGGTCCGCATAAGTACAAAAGAGACAAAAGTAGAAGAGGTACAATACATGGATACAAAAGTAAAACATATATCGATTGCTATACAGAGAAAAGGTTTTATACAGCGCACCCGATTCTTCCGCTCTATAGGACAGTGCGTTACTATAGGTAAGACTGTGTTATACTATACACAATTTGAGCATCGTACCATTTCAATGATACTTCAAAGAAGTATGGCAAAAGCATTTAAGTTTATATTAAAAGTATATATTTCCGGTACACACACACACATACACACACACACACACACGCACACACATGATCCAGTATCCCCGAATACGATGCTTCACGCGCAAGAAGCTCAATGTGTTATTTATGTTTTAATAGACGTAATCACACGGCATTCCAAAGATCACTCTTTTAAATCCTCTTACCTTATATAAACGTATCTGATCGCAGGACATAGTTTTATTAATCTGTGTCGATCTACCTTTGTTAATTCTTTTTCCTGATTACTACTGAGGTTGTCGTATTTGTATTTGTGAAAGAATTCGGTGTTTATATATATTCATATATTATTTATATATATGTATAGAGATATTTCCGTTCTTTTAACATTTATATATTTCATATGAAACTTCATTCACAGGTAGCATTCGCGCCCACTGATCCTAATGGTCACTTACAGCGTCGTTTTATATTTTGTGAGGAATTTGAAGAGGTGATCGCTAGTCGCGCGATTGTTCAGAGGTAATTTTGGTCAGGTGCTTTGCGTCCATAAAAGTAACGTGTTGAAATAACAATTGTACAATCAAATAATAAATTGACAAATATATATGTGTGTGTATATATATAATATATGTATAGAATCTCGCTTTAAAATATGTGTGCTCCTACTTAATAAATCAAAATGACTCGAATTACTACGCGTATATTGGGAAAATTAAATCGGTTTATACATATTGCTCCAGCGTCCGTATTAATACGTAACTCTTCGCCTTCCTTGAATGCTCAAAAATACCAAACAAAAAAACAGGCATCTGAAATGAATAGTAAAAACTCCAGTATGTTATAAAAAAAATTATGAATTTAATAATTGTGTTTGTTTTTCACGGTACGCATAACATTAAAAACTCTCATCAAGTAGATAACAATAACCAACAACTAACAATCGTAGGCATTCACGCAAAAATAGAAATATGTTTAATAATATACAATAATATTATCATAATTTATATTATTGAAGTAAGTATGATCATTCCCTTACTATATTTCTAGAATAGTAGAGTAAATCGTATCAATGATTTGAGCTGAAGGAGTCTGAAAAGTATCAAGTATTTGTACAATATTTGCAAAATGAAACAATATATACTCCAAGTTTTTAGTTAAAATAAAAAAATAACATTACATCTCTCTTTGAATACATTACAACATAATTGTGTTACATCATATTTAATTGTACATAATTGTCAAACTTCATAAATTCATTAAAAATATGGATACATATATAAAGTTTATATTATAAAAACTTTTACGTATTTATTAAATGAATAAAAACATTATATTATACATAATATAACACATCTAAAAATTTTTCCAAACGAAGAACCGAGTCGACATAATGTCGACATAAAACTATTAAAATCCGACTATCACGTAAATTATGTCGTTAATCCGATTTTTCAAGTAGAAATAGTTAACAGATAGTGTAATAAATAGTTAACAGTCTCGAGAAAAATATATATATGTATATACGTTTTTTACATATTTTTATACATATCTAATATAACATGTAAATTTAGAAAATAAACGTCTGAGCAAATACTTGTCTTGCCGTATAATTTACAAATCTGTATCCATCAGCTCGCATCATGTAATACGCGATTCTGTAAATTACTAACAACGAGAGTAGGGTTCTATCTTAATTCTGAGTCCACGATCAGTTAATCCTTACCGCATACGCTAGATTTATAGTATAATTATACATCTCGCAAGAACTTTTTTTTCAAAGATTTGAAATCTCTTGCATCTTCGTTTTTATCTGCTTTCGTGCATTGAACATTCTCCAGGGAAAACAAATCTCACTGCCAGTGTAAACTATGGAAAAAAAAAAGAAAACGTTCTAACTCTACTATTTGCTGCCATGTCGAATTTGTACGAGACACAGAAGACAGCATTCCAGCACTGTAAAGCATACAGTAACATGAATTTGTCACATTAAAGTTAAAAATCTGCTTACGAGAAAGTTAACGAAAAAGATCCGAGTATATATATGTATATATCATATAAAGAAACAGAGAGATAAATGGAAATCCTAACACCTTGAAAGCAAATATTTCGTTCGCACGCTCTGATATTAGCAGTTATTGCAGTTCCAATATTTCGTCACGGATACATGCTATATAAAAAAGGGGCAAAGGGAGCTACATAATGCATATTTAATATAATTAATAATGAATTAGTAAGTTCGTTTTTTTCCCTATACGCTAAAATACAAAACAATAAATTACCGTTAAACTCGCTCACTGATGCAAGTGTATGTATATATATCTATATGCAATATAGTGGCTCTTTTAAAGTAACGATTCGAATCGAGGCAGAGTTGGAATGTAAAGGTGTCCGAGAACTCGCAAGCACAGATCGCGTCTTCATCGAGCTCGCCGAAAATCAAAATCGCCAAAACGATCCATAATACGTGACTTTATTGAGAGAGAGGGGGAGAGAAAGAGAGAGAGAGAGAGAGAGAGAGAGAGAAAGAGAAAGAGAGAGAACGAGATAAAAAGAGAAAAAAAAAGAGACCGAAATATAATAAAGTGCAAAAATAGAAAAGAAAGAAACAGTCAATCATTCTAGGAACTTGTGTGAAAAGTGCAGTCCGACGAAGACGCGATATCTGTTCAAAACAAGGATCGATCGTCAGCACGAAATATCGCATGGAAACATGATTTTCGCTCGGATAATGGCACGACACATGTCACAGATTAAAGAGGCAGCGATTGATGTTGACGATATTTGTGTGTATAGATAAAGTTCTATTTATCTATCTACAACTTTTCGTTAATTAACGCCAATCAAGACATCCATTGATTTATCCGTCAAATATCAGACTAAATTTTCTATCGATCGCACTTACGTTTGTAAGATATAGCCGATCTTCACGTGTTATTAAATTTAATCGGTTCGATAAATTAACTAATGACCGATTGACGGTTTCAAAAGCCTAAATTATATTACAGCAACTGTCCATCGCACTCAAATCGTACTACGGCACGTATACAAGCCATACAGGGCATATACACATCCTATCCACATATCCTTTTTTTCGCATGTGTATTTTCAGTACGAATCGGCCAATAAAGACCGCCTCCTTACGCTGGACACGAGAGTCGCAAAGCTTTAACAAAAACATAAATAACAGGATGGGGTAAAGGAGGAGGTAGGGATAGCGATGAAGAGAAGTAAGTAAATTCCATCTCGCTCGACGCGCGATAATCTATATTGTGATGCCGGAGAGGCGTCACAATACAGAAATTGTCTAGCATCTCGAACTGAGAAACTCGATTCGAATGCGGGCTCCTATTCTCTCTTTTGTCGTTCTCTTCCTCTTGGTTTTCCTTTCACAGATCGGTGTGCCCCAAGACGCGGCACACCTTTTGCTCCTAAGGATCCGATGGTGACTCCAGCATCTCCTTGAGGAAGTCTTCGACCGCCCGCTCTTCGCCGAGGAGCTTGAAAAAGAACAGGTGCTCCGTGCACTTAAGACCGATCGAGCGAATGGATGGTAGGCGGAGCAGCAGTTTGGCGAACCTGCCGGGGTCATCCGGCCAAGACACGCGGGTGTATTCCTCCAGAGCGGCGTAAATCTTCTCGCGCAGTAGGCTAACTTCCTGAATGGACTTGAGACCTCGTGCATCGGGATTGAAGAGAATAATGGATCTGTACACACACGGACAAAATCTTAGCGAAAGACATTCGACGCAATTCAATTAACTACACTAAAAATAAAATTGTTTTCAATCAAATAAATACATTTTGGTAATTTTGATTTTTTTACTTAAATAAATATATACTTTGTTTCCAAAAATATTTTGTTATATTAAATTAATCATTATTTGCACGTAATAAAATTTCTAATTTTTAAAATACATTATATAAAATTTTAATATAAAGAAATATTTACTTGAAGATAACAAATTATTTATTAAAATAAAGAAAACCTGTGTTTTTGAAATAATCAGTCAAAAATTAAAAAGCGTTTTTTTTTTAGATTTAAAGGAAGTAATTTAATACAACAAAGATAAAAAAATTTAATATAATTTTTTTATTTGCAAATAAAAGCATACTTTGCTTATATTTTATTAATTGCTGTTTTATTGAAATAACTAATTCCTTTGCAAGTATTTAAATAAATAATTCTTTTAAATAAAAAAAATTTTTTTTTGTTTATTGTTAGTACATTTTTGTACTAAAGTGTAGTATTGTAGTCAAAAAAATCATGGACAAAAGTTACAAAATGTCTTAGAATTAAGGGAAAAGAAGTGCCGAAAGCGAAGTATACAAAAATATTGATAAGTATTTAATTTTCGCGTAAAACAATCGTGTAAAAAAGTCACTCGTAAGATTTCTATTTCTATAAAGACCCGTTGAAGATCACTCTCTTGCCACTCACCTAAGGCATCCGAGTTCAGTCCTGTCCATTTTCATCTCACGCATCTTCGACACCAGTTCCGAGAGCACGCGATCGAATATCGTTATCACGCCTGCCTGTAGTGCCGAATTTCGATGCACCGTGGTGCCCGTTGCCAGAACGATGCAGTCCTTCATCTCGATGGAACGATAGGAAAAGCCGGCTATTAGCAATTCGTTCCAGCCAGCTTTGAGTAGAAGCATTTGATCCACTAGCGGCAACGATGTAAAGTGCGGGATGTGCTTCGCCCATGTCACCAGCTGGAACAGTTGTTTGTTGGTGGCGTTGCAAATGTGCGAGACCGCATTCTACGCATTATAAAAGATGCCGGATTAGTGGAACGAGTTTTTGGTAAGGAAAAAACAGAGAGC